CAAAATTATGTACATTTAAGTACAAGAAATGTTCTGATATACACAATAATTGTTTTCCTGGGAAAATAAGGAAGTGGGAATAGGAATGGGGTCAAAGGAGACTTTAAAGGTACCGGTTCAAGGCACTTGGAGAAGCAAGAAACACTATAGGGGGCAGCTTCATTAAGAAATGAAGACACCCAAAATGACATCCTTCCCATGGAAGCTGCTGTATTTTGGAGGCCAATAATGCTTTACAAAAACAAAACACCTTGAATATGCTTATGTTTAAATGCTTCAAGATAAGTGTTCCCATCACAATGTCCTAAAGGGCACTGTGGTAGAGTGGGAAGAACGTCTCCAAGGCCTCAATCATACCTGAAAATCATTTGATTTTTTTCCAAGTAAAAAAGTTGTGATTCAGGGGCCGGCCTGGTGGGCATAGCTTTAAGTTCACGCGCTCCACTTGAGCAGCCCGGGGTTTGCAGGTTCGGATCCTGGGCGTGGACCAACGTACTGCCTATCAAGCCATGCTGTGGCAGACAATCATCTCTTTCCTCTACTTCCCCACATATAAAGTGGAGGAAGATGGGCATGGATGTTAGCCCAGGGCCAATCTTCCTCAGCAAAAAGAGGATTAGCAACAGATGTTAGTTTAGGGCTAATCTTCCTCACCAAAAAACAACAAAACCAAAAAGTTGTGATTCCAAGTATTAAACCTTCACTTTATATTTGAGTCATCCATTTGATCCTGAAAACACGCTTTCGTCCGAAAGTACTGATTTGGGTTGGCATTACCTTTTGAGATGTAATCATAGTTCAGGCAGTGCTTCCAGTTAGCTCAATTCTACTTCACTTTCTGTTGAGTCCTGGCTCCCTCTAGAGGCTCAACAGACTGCCACCCCCCCACCCCCTTTTTTTTTTTAGCTATTAAATACATTTCATCATCGAGTTTTCAACTTTCTCCAACTGGGGGAGGAAAATGCCTTCATGGAAAACAAAGTGCTCTAACCAATCCATCAAATTTACAGATTAACCCAGGATATTCGACTTGAAGACTGTCTAAAATTTGAAATATTTCTCCATTTTGTTTTGTTACCTGTACGTCTCAAGTGTAAGGGTTTTAGATTCGTTTTATTTCTTGTGTGACCTTTACAAGCCCTGATTTCCTCACCTATAAAATGGGACTAATTGTACCATCCCATTGGCTTGTCAAGAGGATTAAATGAGTTAACATGTGCACTACTTAGTCAAGTATCTAAAATTTTAAATGCTTAACATTAGTCATTTTTTTATTATTCAGCAGCCAAGAGTCTCTGACACAAAAATGGTGCTTTAAGTGTACATTAAGCAAATGAATGGATTCTTTGCTTACCTTACATGAGGGAAGTACTCTGGCATATTCCCACTCCTAAATTATCTTTTGAAACACACAGGTAGGAGGTAGTAAATTAAATAATGGTAAATGTACAAGATGTTCAAAACCTATCAACAAGATGAAGATAAAATTCTGGCCTAGACGGTGGCGCAAGCAGTTAAGTGCGCGTGCTCTGCTGCGGCAGCCCAGGGTTTGCCGGTTCAGATCCCGGGCGTGCACCGACGCACTGCTTGGCAAGCCATGCTGTGGCAGCGTCCCATATAAAGTGGAGGAAGATGGGCACGGATGTTAGCCCAGGGCCAGTCTTCCTCAGCAACAAAAAAAAAAAAAAAAAAAAAAAGAGGATTGGCAGATGTTAGCACAGGGCTGATCTCACCAAAAAAACAAAAAAAATTCTGGCCTAGAAAGCCACAAGCAATCAATGAGAATTAAGTAAATATTTAAGCCCTAAAAGTCATTTACTCTGGTTTTTCAACTTATGTGCCAGTCACATAATAAGTGATATCAAGTTGAAAATGTTAAAAGCCTCTGCCCTCTGGGACCTTAGTTTAGTGAGAGATGGATGTGATTAATGCCATAAAAAAGGTTCTATGGTTAACTCAGAGGCACAATCTAGACTGATAAGAGGATGTTGGGGCAGGCCTGCAAAAGGACAGAAGGGGGAGGGAAACCAGATGCCACTGCAGGCAGAGGCAGCAGGTCTGAAGGGCAGCTGGAAATAAGAGTTGCAAGACAGCAGATCAAAGAGAACTGTTTTCCATGAACCAGATGACCATCTTCCAGAAGGCCCACTAACTGCATTCACAACCAGCCTGAAGTCTGATTTCTTCTCTGCATACCTTTTGCTCCTGCCACCTACCACACCAGATGCAATTAACACTCAACAGTATCTAACCTCTTCTGTGGGACTTTCCTCTCTCTCAGGATAGGTATGGACGAAGTCCAACTGGCTGGAATCTCCTGCAATCCCCTACATACCAGAGCTTCCCAGCCAAACAAACTACTTTCATTAAAATTAGAAAAGAACCACCTTAGACCTTGCCAGATCTTGGCCAGTGGCATTTTCTCCAATCCTGGCAGCACTTTTTTTTGTGTGTGTGAGAGGAAGACGGGCCCTGAACTAACATCCATGCCAGTCCTCCTCTTTTTGCTGAGGAAGACTGGCCCTGGGCTAACATCCGTGCCCATCTTCCTCCACTTTATGTGGGATGCCACCACAGCATGGCCTGACAAGCGGTGCGTTGGTGCACGCCCAGGATCCCAGTCAGGGCCGCCAGCGGCAGAGCGTGCGCACTTTAACCGCTACGCCCCACGGGGCCGGCCCCTACCCCCCCGCCCCGCAGCACTTTAAAGGCACTTCATCACAGCTGCCTGAGGCCAGAATGAGTGAGTTATGTTTCCTATCGACTAGCTTTCAACTCATTTTCTCTGAACTTTCAATTCCTTTCTCGCTGAAACAATGGTGAGTGCACAAAAAACATATAAAGAAAAGGTAAAAGCCACAAGATTTTACAGCATATAATCACTACCTAGGAGAAGGCCCTAGCAATAAATTATTTTCTAAAAACCATCATTCCAAAATGCCTGCAGCCAAAGTCATGCAAGAGAACCATTGCAAAGAAATGGTACACTGGAACTCACAATACTGTATTCTTCAGGTCACCACCCTTTAAGAAATTAAATTGGAACTAGTCCCTGGAGGGAAAAATCAGCCAAATAGCTGAAAGGTCAATCTGAAAAGAGAAATTGAGGGGCCAGCCCCTGTGGCGTAGCGGTTAAGTGCACGTGCTCCACTGCTGGCAGCCCGGGTTCGGATCCTGGGAGCACACCAATGCACCGCTTGTCAGGCCAAGCTGTGGCGGCGTCCCATATAAAGTGGAGGAAGATGGGCACGGATGTTAGCCCAGAGCCAGTCTTCCTCAGCAAAAAGAGGAGGATTGGCATGGATGTTAGCTCAGGGCTGATCTTCCTCACAAAAAAAAAAAGAGAGAGAGAGAAATTGACTGAGCTAAGTGGAAAAGAGGCACACAAACTTCCTTGACCAAGACTGAAAACACTGTCAACAACGGACACACACTAACAGCATTAGAGACCAGTAGTAGTCTGACCAAGCAGTTCTTTTCAAGCACCTTCAGCACACCAGTTTCTGGATATGCAAACATTAACACCTTACAACATTTACAAATTTTCATATAACCCTATGGGTCTTAACCAGAAGATGCTACTTTGAAAATGTAGCCCTCCACAACAGAACTGTCCCATCAAAAAATGACAGTAGTGCTCCCAAATTGAGAAATACTGAGTAACTGAACAACCAGTAAGAAAGCTCCCGCTATTATTGCTACTATGCAAATTACATCCACAACCTCAGATTAACTGCAGACACAAACTAAAATCATACAATGTTAGCTTGAAAGAAACCAATTCCTCACCCGTGAAACTGGGAATTTGACCCACCCACGGTTATTTATATTATTAAATAAGTAGAATCTTCTGACTCCAAGTTCAGTAAACACTTGACTTTCTGGATAATGTATCGATGGCATCTTCATCTCCTGTGTCTCACTCATCTACCACCAAAAACTGCCTATGCAAGCTGATTCTAGAGTCCAAAAGAGGGCCGGCCCCGTGCCTTAGTGGTTAAGTGCGCACGCTCTGCTGCTGGCGGCCCGGGTTCGGATCCCGGGCATGCACTGATGCACCGCTTCTCCAGCCATGCTGAGGCCGCATCCCACATACAGCAACTAGAAGGATGTGCAGCTATGACATACAACTATCTACTGGGGCTTTGAGGGAAAAATAAATAAATAAAATTATAAAAAAAAAGAAAAGAAAAGCATAAAGTCCAAGAGACTTTGTCATTTCTGATACTTCTGCAGCCTTAGAGCCCTACAGACTGTGTAGGGTATACCCTACCAGTACCATTCTACTCTGTAAATCAAGATGTATTTAAATCAGTATTTTTCCCCAAATTGATTCCTCTGAATGTTCCAAAGGATATTAACAGATGTGGGAAAAGGGTTCCATAGGACATACTTAGGAGATGTGGTATGCAGGTTCCTAAAAATATAAACACTGAACATAGCTCACAGTGTATCTTTTAGGACTAAAATTATAAACACACTTCAGACAACCGCAGACTTAACACTTATTGAAATATGGGATTATTCAGAAGTTATTCAAGTACACTTCTTCTACCCCAACCACTGCACACCCTTAGGAAAGATCCTACTTCATTAAAGCTCAACAGAACTTTTCTCAGCCTGTGACAAAATTTTGGGTGGGGAGAACATATTCCATTTAATCCTCTTTGCTACTCAGATTTGGCAGATTAACGCTGGACTATAAATTTCAATTCTGGTTAAATTCTGGGTATTGAACCTTGCTGCCTCTCAAATATACTCAAATATAAAATACCAACAATGTCCTGAGACTGAAATTATGAAAATTAAGTATCTTAAAAATCTAGTACAAGAAAGGAACTCGGTGCAGTCCCTGTACAAAAACAGGAAAACGGAAACTGGGATGTATAGCTCTTAACCCAAAAGTCATGCCACCACATTTAGCTGCCTCATCCTCTCCAATCCTATTTTCAGAAAGTGTACTGAAACAAAGACATAAAGAAAATAACTGAAATGAATACAGTGTTTTTAAAACAAGCTCTGGCCAATTTTATTAAAGAAAAATTTTGCATGATTTACTTTTCACCAGTCTGTTCTGGCATGCTTCTAATGATATCAGAATCACCTAGAAAATAAAACACAATAATTTTACAATTCATTTAACAGCAACTGGTAGTCATCAAATTAGCAGTGGTTATCTTCAAAAATTATTACACTAGCTGTGCTGTCATTTCTCAAGGTTGATCAAAGATACCTAGAATTACAGATATTTCTCACCTAAGATGCATCATATAAATCAGACTTGGCTTATCACCAGCATTTATAAAACCAGACCCAGGGAAAGAACTAGGTCTGGGGACACATGCATGGTCTTCATATAGCGAATGTTTAGCCTGCCCTGATTATTACAAAATCAGAACAGCGAGAATATTCGCAGTATTTTATGCATTAATTAAAAATTCCTAAGTTTAAAACATAACATGACGTGTATTTGTAGGCACTTCTTTTTCTCAATCTAATTTTACCTCTGTTCTCAGGCAGCCAGTTAAGGATTACTTTCTGCTATTTCACCTGATTATTCTCCCCTTTTATAAATTCACCTTTTACCAAGGTCTTAAGTCATTACTTCTTAGATACTTCATCAAATGAAACTCGTGATCTCAAACTCAAAAACCATTTATGAAAAGCCCATTATAATGTACTGACATTCATTATCAATTCTCTGTGAAATAAGACTACAGGAAACCCTTGCATATCCAAATTCTCACTATCTGAACTCAGGAACCAAAGACATTTGTATAGCAAAGAAAACTTGTATTATACTATAAATGAAAAAAAATTTACGATTTAAAAAGCATACCTGGATCAATAATAGCCAGTGTGCATACTCTGTAGTATTTTCCACATGCTGTGCCCAATTCAATATTATTGCCACTGTAGTGATGGACACCAGTTTTGGCCAACATGGCGTAGTACTCTATTTCAGATTTTCTTTGGGAACCAAAAAAGACAAATAAATAAATGCCATACCAAGTGACTGACAGACTAAACACTACTTCTCATTAATTTTAATGTTGATGAGGCCTTCAAACAGTAACTAAGTCAGTTATTACTCTTAAAAACATTATCATATATATTAGCTAATACAAACTATCTTTCCTTGGATCCCTTACAAGTGATGGGACAACCAGCAAATATCTACTGAATACCTATGTTTAAGACAGTTATCTATCGGGCCGGCCCCGTGGCTTAGCGGTTAAGTGCGCACGCTCCGCTGCTGGCGGCCCGGGTTCGGATCCTGGGCGTGCACCGCCGCACCGCTTCTCCGGCCATGCTGAGGCCGCGTCCCACATGCAGCAACTAGAAGGATGTGCAGCTATGACCTACAACTATCTGCTGGGGCTTTGGGGGAAAAAATAAATAAATAAAATTATTAAAAAAAAAAAAAAAAGACGGTTATCTATGCTCATGGAAAAGAGGGTAGGGTGCAAACTAAAAGCATTATTTACTTAGTATTTACTACATGCCAGACACTTTACATTATATAACTCCCACGACAACCTCTGAGGTTAAGTATTAAAAAAGTACTCCATTTTTTTTAATTAATGAAAAAATTGAGGCGCAGAATAAGCAGAGGATCCAGAATCCGAACCCATGTCATCTTTTTAAAAGATAAGCCATTTCTATCACCCTCTGGTGCTTGAATTCTAGATAGGGAGTGATATTACTTACCCAGAGTTAACATTTCTGTATCAACTGAGTAGGTAGACATGAAGGGTTTTACAAATTTGAAGGGAGTCCTAACAGAACCTTGCCACTACTCAGTGTGGATCCACAGACCAGCAGTGGTGTCACAAGATGTTTGTTAGAAATGCATAATCTCAGGTCCCATCCCAGACCCATTAAATCGGACCCAGCATGTGACTGTGTGCACATTCACATCTGAGAAGCACTGCTATAGAAGAAAGGTTTGGAATAAGAGCAAACCACGGGATGGGATGGAGAAGAGAACACCGAGGCTTTGCCAGTTAAGTAACAGACACCCTATATAAAACGCTGTGAGCAGGTTATGCATTACCACAGAAAATCAAGGCGGGTAGGGGGCTGATCATACGCTTATGTTCTTCAAGTTCCAAGTTTCTTTAACTTATTTACAATACTCACTAAGTTCCACCACTTCAAGCCAGTGAGTCAAACAAAACCCGTGGCCCAGAGAATTAACACAGTGGGATGAACTAGGTGCTTCTATGACAGCCCGTAGCTCCACTGGCCAGCCCGAACTCTTATTTAGCTTTTCTACACTGAAACAAGTTCATACGACGAAGCACTTTTAAAGCAACTCAAAGCTCAAAGAATGACCAAAAGGGCAGGGCACAAAATACACACAACAATTACGTGTCTGTGCTTCCCTCGAACTTGGACGGTCTGTGGCTTTTACCTTCTGCCATACATTTCTCCCTAAGATAAGCTTCACAAGGAGAGAACATGACGAGGGAGAAAAAAATCAAGAGCCAACCACCACAACAGCAACCCTAAGTCATTCTGCAAGTTTCCTCTTGTAAAACAAATTTTACATAAACCCGAGTTCATGCTACCCAGATTGCAAGTCCACGCTCCTGGCTACTCGCTCACGACGAAGCTGCAGTGGGCGATACACACACTCGGGTTCCTTCGATTACCTCAAGGCTGGGCAGTTGTTGGCGAGGATGACCAGTTTGGCTTTGCCTTGTCTGATCATTTTCAGGGTCTGCTTGTACCCCAGCACGTACTTTCCACTTTTCATAACGAGTTGGAGCCTAGAGTTGATCGACTCCAACGATTTTTTCTACAAAGCAAACATTTAACACGGATTTGAAGGGCTTGTTTGTAACCTCCTCAAAACTAGGTCCAGCTTTCTGGACGCCGAGCCCCTTAATAAAACCTCCGAAGTCGAGGGTCCCAAGTCATTAAGAGGGCCTCTCGGGGTCCTCTTGGGACCCTCCAATTGTCAGTGGGCACGCTGCCTGCCCAGTGTGCTCAGATGCGCCCGCCCGGGCCGAGACTCATCCCTCCACGTGAACCGGCTTCCGGCCTGACCGCTTCACTCACCGTCTTCTTTGCGGCCACCATCTTCCTGCCTTAGGTGCGGGAAGACCCCCAACCTAGAACACACAGAGGACAGGACAGGAGATTTAGGACCAGGAGCTCTAAACAACGACCCGCTGGGCTCCCCGCGCTGCCTAAACCTCGGCCTGGAGGAGCCCACTCACCAACAGCAGCCGCCAAAATGGCCGGGGAGCGAGAAAGGAAGGAGTTCCCACAATGCAAAGCTCTTCACGGCGGAGCCGAGACTCTGGGACCGGAAGCGGAAGCAAATCGAAAGCGCAAGGGGCGGGGCAAGAAGAGGCGGGCCGCCGCCGGTTGCTATAGGTACCGGTAGTTAGCACGGCGGGGTGGCCGTATCTTTCCGCGTGTCCGCGCTGTTGTTACTATGCTGCGGAGAGCTGCGGTCTGAGGAACGGAGGGACGTCGAGCTGGACGGGAGTTGGAGAAGCCGGCTGATGGTGAGGCGGCAGGGGCAGTGAGAAGAGGCGACGGCGGGTGGACCACGGTCTTGGTGCTGTTGAGCTTATTTCTGCGCGAAGCCGCGGCTCTTGGCGAGATCCCGGAAGGACTTCGGTGCGCCGCCGTTCCGCGTCTGCCCTCCGCCGTCAGTGCCGCCGGGCTGAAGCGGCTGCGTGCACCCCCGTGCCCTCGCCCGAGTTGGCGGTCGCTCGGAGAACCGTGGCGCCCCGCGCTCGCTCCCCCAAACTCACCTCTTTTGTGGCTTTGTTAGTATGAACTTGTAAGCGGAGTTTGCACAGAGAGAGCGATAAACAGGTCTAATTAAAAAAATCTTTTTGTTGTGAACGTTGGACTTTGATATAAATGTCCGGCGCCGGGTCATTCAAAATACTAGGCACAGAAAGTACCCCCGCCCCACCACAAAAATGAAAAGTAAAATCAGACCAGTAGGTGAGGTATTTCGCGTGTCATCATGCCCTGGAGATCAGGAGGAGGAACCAAAAAAAAAAAGTCTGTGCCAGGAACTAGGCTAGACCATTCACCTATATTTTATTTGATAGTCACAAAAACTTTTATGAGATAAGTGACGTTTTTATTCTCAGATTTCCATACGTAGTGTGCTGTCGGAGCTAAGGCCAGTACCCAGGTCTGTACCGTAGGTCACCTCACAATTAAAGTTTATTCAAATATGTGCCCCACTTTGAGGGAAATTTACCAAACAAGTAAGGTTAGATTATCATACTACTTGAACGTTTAGGCATAAATTACTTAACACTGTGCAAATCCAGATAATTTTGGCTTTCCTCGATTAATCTAGTTCTAAAACATATTAAGTTCTTTTTTTTTTTACTAATTTTAGAACAGATAGCTAGGCTTCTGATTTAAAGTTGAAGAAGCTGAGACCTAGAGAAGTTGTGGCACTGCGGCTATGTGATAGTGAAGGCGAAAACACCAGCTCCCCCCTTTTTTTTTGTGAGGAGGATTGGCCCTGAGCTAACATCAGCCAATCCTCTTTTTTTGCTGAGGAAGACTGGCCCTGAACTAACGTCCATGCCCATCTTCCTCTACTTTATATGGGAAGCCACCGCAACATGGCTCGACAAGCAGTGTGTCGGGGCACAAGCAGTGTGTCAGTGCACGCCCGGGATCCTAACCTGCGAACCCTGGGCCACTGCAGCGGAACGCGTGCACTTAACCCCTTGCGCCACCTGGCCAGCCCCACCAGCTCCTCTTTTAATGCTGTGCTCTTTATTTTTCTTTTCTGATCCATGTCAGTGTTTCATTTGTGCTTGTCATCCTATTATAAAATATTGAATCATCTTAAGAGCACTTTCCATTACAATTCATTGTAGGTACAACTCGGAAATGTTTAGAGTCCACCTTCATATTAGACGTTCAGGTATAAATTTTTTTTCTGTTATCAAACATTCTTTCTTGTTAGGCACTTGATATGTAAAGAACCATAATATGCCCTACCTTCAAGGGGCTAACAGTCATGCTGAGGAGACAAGACCTGTAAAAAGACACTTAGCATAGGTGTAATTGCCATGTATAGGTATGAAATCATGGTCACAGACATGGCATGAATGGTACCATGTGCCAGGTCCTCTGTTAGGCCCTGGTCATATAAGATGCCCTCAGAAACCTTGCAGTCTATGTCTGGAGGAAGACATAAACAAATATCATAATGTGTTTATTCAATTAACAAGTATGTTTGACAAACTCAACATCACTAGGCACTAAAAATATACAAAGACATGGTATCTGTTCTTAACAAGCCTACTATCTAGCTGGGCCATACAGGAGAGTGATGTTAAGAATAATTAACTTTTTGGGCCGGCCCTGTGGCTTAGCGGTTAAGTGCGTGCGCTCCGCTACTGGTGGCCCAGGGTTCAGATCCGTGGCGCGCACCGACGCACCACTTCTCCGGCCATGCTGAGGCCATGTCCCACATACAGCAACTAGAAGGATATGCAGCTATGACATACAACTATCTACTGGGGCTTTGGGGGGAAAATAAAAATTATAAAAAAAAAAAAAGAATAATTAACTTTTGTATAGACTTCAATGTACTTTTCACAAATCTTAACTAATGGTTACAATAACCTCTTAGGCATTATTACCATCCTTATTTTACAGAGGGCAAAACTAGAGAGAAAAGTGATTAAATAATTTAGTGAAGGTTAAGACAGATCAGGGCTGAGATTTGAAGTCAGGTCCTCTTCAGAAATAACTGAAATTAAGGGGGGATGCATTCTAGTCTGAGACGAGCACAAGCAGAGCTAAAAGAGCACGATCAGAGAGTGGATAGTACAGTTTGGCTGGAATACAGCATTCAAGAGGGGGAATGGTGAGAAAAAATACAAAAAAGGTGGAACATGTAAGATTTAAATGTTAAATTATGTAAGTTTGCTTGAGTAGAATTTTAAGAAATCATTTTATGTTTAAATGTTACTTCATAGTCGTCTTTTTCCAGAAATTTATTTAAATCCCTGCAGACTCTGTGTCCGTTATTGAAGAGCCCTTAGGAGAAGCTCCCTCAGTTTTTAGCAATTTTAGAAGCAGCATGCTGATCAATCATTCCATTGCTAATGGGAATTGGAAGTAATGAAGGCACTAAAATTAAATTGTCACCAAAAAGACTAAAGTTAGATATAAAACAGGTTGGGGAAATACGTTCTTTAAGGACTCTTTAAGGACAGATTGACAGTATGTCAAACGTGAAATGAACTTACCCACATAAGCATTTTGTATAAGGACATACAAGATCACAGTGGTTTCCTCTGGAGAATGGGATTGGATGTTGGAAGGAGGTGGGGAAACACTTTTTTATCTTATTCCCTTAGTGCTATTTGAATCTTTTGGCCCAGCAATGCAACTTTTAGGAGTTTATCCTACAGTAACAGTCATGGTTGCTCAAAGACATGTGAAGAAGTATATTTATTTCTGCATTTTTTTTTCTTTTTTTGCTGAGGAAGATTCGCCCTGAGCTAACATCCACTGCCAATCTTCCTCTTTTTTGTATGTGAGTTGCCACCAAGCATGGCCACTGACAGACAAGATTGGTGTAGGTCTGCACCTGGGAACTGAACCTGGGCTGCCAAAGCAGAGTGCGCTGAACTTAACCACTAGGCCACCAGGGCTGGCCCTCAGCCTTATTGTTAATAGCAAAAAAAAAAAAAAATTAGAAATAACATCAAATGCTTATCATTCTTAACCAATATATACTTTTGTGTATGCAGGGAATATTCAAGTCTGGAAAGCTAATCATCAAAACTTACCTCTGGATGAGAGATGAGAAGAGTAGGTGGTGAGGAGAGGACATTTACTCTCTACTTTATATATTTCAATACTGCTTGAATTATTTTACAGCATGCATTAATTGTTACATTGAAAGTTCCTTTTTAATAATAAAGTGTTTATTTTAAATAGATCTTGTGAAACATCAATTGTATGTCAAAGTATGCCTCTCAGATCGCCTGATTCAGAATCACCTTGAATTCTGACTCCTGGGCCCCACCCAGGTCTGTGGAAGAAATCTCTGGATGTGGGGCCTGGGAATCTGAGTTTAATAAGCAGCCTTGATGATTCTTATAAATAGTAAAATTTGAGAAGTAGAGAACTAAAGAATGAGATAGCCAAGTTGGTTTTGAGGCATGCCTGCTTAGAGATATAAACTAAATAATGATGCTTTTATATTGACTCTATACTTTCAAAGCCTTTTAATATTCACTTTCTCCAAAGTAATCAGGATAGATATTATCCCCATTTTAGAGAATGAATGATTAAAGCACTTGAGATGACTTTCCTGAGGTGTTTTTCATTATATGATACCAAGTTTCCTGTCCTTACTATATGTCTTCATCATACTTCAAAGAAAGGCCTTAGTTGCTTTCTCCCAGGGATCTTACTGTGGTTTTGTACATCCGACACCAGAGAAGCTCAAAGCACTCATTTGTGTATGAATCATGACCAAAATGTTTGGGAATTCTTCCTAGGGAATCTTAACTGAATCTGCTGTCTCTTTGGAGATAGACTTAGGTTCTTCATTTTTCTATTTGATACCTGCATGACTTTGGGCAAATTATCTAACCTCCCTAAGCCTCAGTTTCCTCATCAATAAAACTAGAATGATAATGTCTACCTCAGAGTATTGTTGTGAGGATCACAGTAGACATAATAGTGTTAAAGCACCTAGCACAGGGCCCTGTACAGAGTAAGTGTGCAGTCGATGTTAGTTTCCTTCCTCAATCCCACTCTTACCTCCCCAACCTCCGCACTGCAGTCACCCATCCACACCTAAAGTCATTCACAACATCACAAAACCTATAAACACTTGCCATGCAAAAATAACAGTCAAATCCTTTGGCTCATGAAGATTTTGTAAATATTTCCACACTTGTATTTATTAGAGGAGGAGTTGGCAAACTTTCTGTAGAGGGCCAAGTAGTAAATATTTTAGCCTTTGGGCCATATGGTCTCTATGGTAACTACCCAACTCTGCTGTTGTAGCAGGAAGGCAGCCAAAAACAATATGTAGATGAATGGGCATGGCTGTGTGCTGATAAAACTTTATTTACAAAATCAGGCAGCTGGCTGGATTTGGCCTGCAGGCCATGGTTTGCTGACCCCTGTGTTAGAAGACTACTATTACTATTATTAAAAATAGCTACTTTAAGTCATATAGAGAATGTCCTTAGTCTAAAGAGATATATGTTGAAGTGTTTACAGATGAAGTGTCATGATATCTGCAACTTATTTTCAAATTGCTAAAATAAATGTAGATAACTAACCCACAGGTAGGTAGAGCAAATGCAGCAAAGGGTTAACAATTGTTAATTTTATTTTTTTTTTACTTTTTATTTTTTTTAATAGATTGTCGTGAATTCTTTGGGTTTTTTTTTTTCTTTTTAAAGATTTTATTTATTTTTATTTTTACCCCCAAAGCCCCAGTACATAGTTGTATGTCATAGCTGCACATCCTCCTAGTTGCTGTATGTGGAACACGGCCTCAGCATGGCTGGAGAAGCGGTGTGTTGGTGCGCGCCCGGGATCCGAACCCGGGCTGCC